CTCAAGTCAAGTCTAGCCCGCCCTGTAGATTGCGCCCGCTGTGGGCAGACGCCGAGCCCAGGATGCTGAGTTGTCCAGGGACCCCGCAGTCCCTGGAGTGACATTGGCCTGGCTTTGTGTTTCCGCTCTTAGGCCACTTGAGGGGAAAGTGACCCTGGGCTGGCCCGTCCTTGATTGCAGACTGAGTGAGACTGAGCCTCTCTGTTAACAAGAGGGAATTCCTTCTCTCTTTTAGCTTCTGCCCTCTTCTATCCTTGGGCTGTCTAGAAGTTTTAGAATGAGCTCTGATGTCTGTAGCTGTCTGTATAGAACTGGAGCAGGCATATAACTATAAAAAGAAGTATCTCCTGCATCGCTTATTGAGCAAGCCCTCTGCAGCCAGCCTAGAAATTACACAGGTAGACAAGTGTAGTTGACAGGTAGATTTTGTTTTCCTGATTATTTTTTTAGGAGTTTACCAGGTATAGTTTTCTTCATATTTTAAAACATGTTCAGCTCATCTATATTTTAAAAAAATGTTTTAGTGGAGACACATACATCGTCGTTGTAGCAGCATAGGTGCTTTTGAAACAAGAATACATTTGTTGTGAGTTGGATGAATGAGAAGGCAAGAAATTGTCTCGATAGATTTATTTCAAGCAGGGCAGAGCATTTGGATAGGTGCATATGTTCCTTACCTCCTATAGATGTTGTGCAGTATCTTGTTAGACATGGAAAAATGTGGAAAATATTTGGTGGAAAAATAGTGTTTAGAATCTTTCAGACCTGTCCAACCTTTAGACATTGCCAGTTGATGTTGTCATCTTTAATCATGGGATCAAAGCCAGGCTTGGTTCATAATTTTAATCCCAGCACTCAGAAGACAGCCTAGTCTAGATATAGGGCACTAAGATAGCACGTTTCCCAGCTTCGAGACAGGTTCTCACTATGTAGCCCTGAATGTCCTGAACTCTCTGTAGACTAGGCTGTCCTTGAATTCACAGAGCCCCTGCCTCTGCCTACCAAGTACTTGGATTAAAGGTGTGCACCTCCAGGACAGGCTAAAATAGCATATCTTAATCTTACATATTTTCTTATTCACTACTTAGATAAGCTTACATTTTTATCTAAGCTTCAGATTGCTCACTGTTTGAAGACTTGCAAACTGAAGCATTCTTGGCCTGTGTAATGCCTATGTGACACTGCTAATTCACCATTGGAGCATACAAACACTTTGAGTGTTTTTGAATGATGATGTTAAAATTTGCCTGGGACGATGGAGGAAGCTTAGAAATCTTTGTTGTTGTTGTTGTTGTTGTAATGTGCTTATTGTTACTATATTTGAGCATTGACACTTTTTCATCTACAAAGCTTTCTATTTGCATAAAATAACTCTTCAAGTATAATTGATTTGGCACATGGATGGGTGTGGTATGTAATTCATCCTTATATATCATGAACTTTTAAATATTGAAATACAAAGCCATAAAAAATAATAAACCTGAAATCAATCAAAAGCAACAAACAAGCTGCTTAGTTATTAGAGTCAGATGCCTGGTGCAACTCTATGTTCTTTCCAGACCTGTCTCATCTGTATGAACAATTAACAGGCAGCTTGTCATCTTAGAGATTTTCACTTTCCTTTTTGAAATCATACCATCCTTTTTAATTTAATTTTTTGAGACAAGATTTCTCTACATAGTTCTGGCTGTCCTGGAACTATCTGTGTATGCCAGACTGGCCTCAAACTCACAGAGCTCCACCTGCCTCTGCCTTCTAAGTGTTGGGATTAAAGGGGAGGGCCACCATTCCTAGCTTGATTCCATTCTTACTTGTTTTAAATTAGGTTTTGAAGCTGGGTGTTGGTGGCACACACCTTTAATCCCAGTACTCAGGAGGCAAAGGCAGGCTGATCTCTGTGAGTTTGAGGCCAGCCTGGTCTACAAGAGCCTGTTCCAGGACAGGATCCAAAGCTACACAGAGAAACCCTGTCTAGAAAGAAAAAAAAAAAAAGAAAGAAAGTTAAGTTTTGAGATGGTGATCCAAAGTATTCTTGTCTAATACTGCCCAATCCTGAACAGTAAAATCTGGTCTTCCTGGGCAATTCAAATTTTTCTATAAATCATTATTTAGAAGTTTTTTTTTTTTTTAAGCTAACAAAGATGGGATATAGGGGGCAAATAAGCTACAAAGAACTGTTTGTAGTGTACTCTGACTATGAAGAATATTTAGTAACTTCTCTTTGTTTGTGAGTCCTTGCTCTTAAACTAATATAGAAAGAATTTGGCCTGATATGTAGATGTGATCTATTCTGGAATCCAACAACTTTTCAATTTGAGAGTATGCCTCAGGACTCAGGAGCCTGCTTACTAAACTGTAGTGTTTGCTTGCAAGCTTGCTTAAAGTCCAGAACTGACCGATTGACTTCCAGTAGGAAATAGTTTCTCTTTAATATTAGCCATTCTGGCTAAGGTTATAGATTACTGTAGTCACCTCTTTGTCTGTCCTGTCCCCACTTATCATCATGTCTCATCTTGTTTTCAACCTGTCCCTAGAATTCTTCATCTAAGTCTGGAAATCCTTTCAGATGTATGTATATCTGTGCTTGTATGAGCTCTTACATACACATTATATGGGCTGTGCAGGTTTTTCTCGTGTTATTGTCAAAGGGACCTGTGACCTCAGTCTTTTAGGAGCTCCTGGCCTTTGGGGTTTAGGTTTCTGCCATCTTTGGATTTGCTGCTCCTCTTATTTTCTCACATAGGGCTGGTGGGGGGTTGGGGGGTGACACAGGCATGACCATAAGTTTATGTTGGGGGCAGATGAGAGTTAAATCTCCCTTTAATGAGAAAAACTAGTTTCTCTGTGGAGTGGAAATGGAGCTGCAAAAGAATTCAACCATACTTTACTAGGACACTTTCCAGAAAATGTTATTAACTCACAGATAGTTCCTACAGTCAGCTGTGAGCATTAGTTATCACTTGTTTAACACTCATCTTGTGGATCACAATGGCTCCAGTAGCTGGAGAGATCCAACAAACGGTGTGGACTGGGTATGGATTAGATGTATGGGAGAGCTACCAGAGTACACAGCAAAGACAATGGTAGGATTTCAAGGAGGAAATGGTCAGCTGAAGTTTCTGTTGACCTTGAAATCAGAGCTTTAATCATTGTTGAGCTGAAGGAAAACTGCAAGAGGTTGAGTAAATGGAAGAGGAAGAAGCAGAACTCTGAAATAAATACTCAAAAGTGAAGTGGTGACTGGAGCATTGTCTCACTCTTCCAGCCTTGCTGCTCAAATGTGAGGACTGAGTTTGGATCCCCAGCACCTGTGTAAATAGTTATGTTGTACACCTAGAATTTCAGCTCTGGAATGAGAAGACAGGAGAATCCTTGAAGTAGTTTTGTGGCTGAATCACTGACCTTTAGGCTCAATCAGTGAGAGACCATGTCTCAAAAAGTAAGTTGAATGAGCAATTGAGGAAGGTGCCTGCTGTTGACCTCTAACCTCCTTTCACATGCTTACTTACATATGTCCATGTATACATACATCATACACACTCACACAACATGAACAAGTGAGCCAGGCCTAGTGGCACAGACCTGAAGTCCCAGCTACTCAGAACGCTAAGACAGAAGGCTCTGGTTTCAAGGCTTACATGAGCTAGAGTGAGCAAGGCAAGGCTGGGCAATTTAGGATGCTCCATCTCAAAATAAAGAATAAAAAGAGGGCTGGAGATATAGCTTGGTGGTAGTGTTTGCTTAGCATGCCTGAGTCCCTAGGTTCAACCCCAGTACCACCAAACAGGGGAAAAGTGAGGAGACGTTTCGATGGTCTGAAGAAGAAATGAAGGAGGAAGGATTTTCAAAAATGGGAGGATTGGAAAAGGAGAGAGGAAGCTGTTAAGGGAGAATTGATGTTATTCTTGTGAAGGGTAACTGGTAAAGTTGGCTAGCTTAAGCATGCAGAATATGCCCTGACATCACTCTGAAATTGGAAAAGTGCATGAAAATGGACTTGGAACTGGGGAGAAGTCAGTGGTTTGAGCAGCAGGAAGAGAAGAGAGCAAAAGGAGTAGCATGGACCAGGACCAGCATGCCCTCGGTATGGCCTCAGCATCCACATGGTAGTTACAGATAGATCCTTGGGCTGGTACTGTGCCTCTTGAGTTTGAAACAAGAGTCTTAGTACCTGCTGTATGGGAGTGTTATAAGAATTAGAGAGCATATTTATAACATGTCCTCTGTATCTGTCACATTCACTGGGAACCCAGTAATGTCCCAAACATTCATGTATAGCTCTCAGAATTACTTTCACCTCCGTGTAAAACTCTCCTGCTGCTTTTGGTCTTACTGCCACCTTCCAAAGGGGACAATCTCTGCTTCTCTTGTCTTAATTTGCTATCTCCCCTGCCTCCCATTTGTCATAGCACATTTATCACACTGATTCTGTGATTTTGTGTTTGTGTGATTTTGTGGCTTTGTCTCTTCCACTAGACATTCAGTATCCAACATTCTTGAATGAATGAATGCCTTGAACATAATAGAGTAAGAAACGTTTATTTTCTCACAGATTTTACAGGTCAGGAATTCAAAAGTAGCATTGCTGCATTGTTACGTGGTTCAGGAT